GACAGACAGACAGACAGACAGAAGATGGATGACAGACAGACAGACAGACAGATAGATAGATAGATAGATAGATAATTCTACATTATTCAGTACAAAAACAACTAAAAAACAGTATAGATTTATAATATTAGCCTCATTTACAGCAGGATATCAGCAAAAATGTAAAAATACCTCAGATCCTCAATCTCCTTGATGTAATTCTGAATCATATTTCCAATCTCCTCACTGCCTTCACCTGAAAACATAGTTCAAATTCTGTCAACAACTATCAAACATCTTACAAAGTCTTTGATTGGCCATATTTGCCGTGCTGTACCTGCTCTGGAGAGCACCTGATTGGCCTGTTCACTGAGCAGCTGCGTGAGCCGAGCACCCTGAGCATCGATGGCTTCCTGCATGGCCTTCACACGCATGCGCAGATTATTGTTCTCTATCTGCAGCATTGAGTTCTCATGGAACATGTCGTTGATGCTTTCCAGCCCATCCTCTCCGACCATACGCTTCCCCTGAGAAACACAGACAGACTTACTTCATTCACCAAACATTCACACAATTTATATAAAAGAATCACAATATTATTTATTAGCTAAACCCCTATGTCATAAATTTCTATTTTACAAGTTATCTGAAATGAACGTCTAGGGGTTTGCAATCCCTTGATTGATAAAGCCTGCCGTGGAAAAAAAATAACGTAATATTTTAGCACTGTTTAGCTGACACTATTTAATCATATTAATCAGGCATTAAAGGCCCCAGCATACTTCATCGTGCATGTTTTGCTTCATCTAGAGCACTTGTTTAGCGTGTTGGCACTACCTAATGGACCTTTTTACATTTTACCACTCACGTCTTTCACTAGTTTTGAGTGAATGGCCGCTTACTGATAAAACAACCAAGAGTTGGCTCTTCAAGTGACATTGAGTGATGAAAAAATCCCAAAGATTTAAAGACTGGCTGTTTTCTACCAACTATTTCAGGGGGATTTTGTTAACTAATCATTCTTCAAAAGTTCTTATTGTAGTGCTGTGAGAACAAATTTGTTTCAAAGTGAACTATTATAAACCAATCCACCCTGACTCTAGAAATTATGCAGAAGCCAGCCAAGCAGATTGCTTATGATTTTTTGGAAACATTTTTATTTTTAAGTAGGACTGCATCTGGCGGTCCAAGTTCAGTAATCATCTATACTTGACACTGAACCACTAAACTCAGTGTTAGCAGGTCAAATTATGAACCATCACTCATTAACTAAACTAAAGTTTTAGCATTTTAATGCATTTGATCGTGGCCCACTAGATCTGTTACGCACGCTGCTACTGGACTTGCTACTACCAACAGATACACAGACACATTGCTGTGAGCATGTCAGACAAGCTGCAGCAGCAATAGGAATACAGTAAATAAATCCTGTAGCAGATGTAGACAGGTGGTGCTGGGGGAGGTGGAGGGTTTCAGAGGATCTTTGACAGTGTGCTGCAGGACCAGCTTACAGCAAACAATGAACCAGACTATTTCATGTTGAGCAAGCAATCTCATTGGCTGCAGAATGAGCAGAGACCAATCAGCTTGTAAATAAGTCATAGCAGACTGCATGTAAAGGATCCATCAGCCTGCGTCCAGATTTTTATGACTGAGCTATATATGTTGAGGATACACTGAAGACATGCTGGAACTGAAATCCAACTCACATAGAAGTTTCTCAGGCCTAACACCTCCTTGCTATCAAAGCCATATTTTTATAGCAGAATCTCACCGTTCTGTACTCCATGAGGTCCATCTGCAGTCGGGCGATCTCCGTCCTGAGTGCACTGATCTGCTGGCTGGCCTTGTCTTGGTTCACCACCACCTTGTTCTTGATGTTGCGAGCTCTGTTAGCGTACTTCAGTGTGTTTAGGGTTTCCATGAAGTCCTGATCTGATGGGCTGGTGCAGGAGATCATCACTGTTCGACTAAGAAACCGGAGAGAATGTCCAGCTTTATTTATTTACTCGTACTGTCTAATGCTACAATGCCAAATTAATATTTTGTCCGGATGTGGATCAAGTCTGCTGCATCGCAATACATTGTTGAAAATGCATCCCTAATGTTGGTATTATGATCCTGATTAAAGAATTTTAAGCTCACCAGTCCAAAATTGTCATTATCGTGTTATAATTCTGTTATTATCCTGTTATTACACCGCTATTCCAAATTTGCATGCTGTTCATGGGAAATACTGTGAAAAGCACTTCCTACTAATGCTTGAAGAATTTAAACTGAATTTGACTATTGTTAGATTGAAAAATTGAGAAGATTTGGAATATTTGCGTTCTATATTTCAAGTCTTCTGAAATCATATGATAACTTTGACTAAAATTGACTGAAATTTAAGTTGTCATTCAATTATAATATTCACCGACATCAAATATGGCACCAGTTGTCAGGTGTGACATCAATGATATTTGGTCAAGAGACATGCAAGAACCAATTTTGTTGTTGACGTCCAGTCTGACATTATTTGTTGAAAGGCTACATGTTTGATTTCAAAGCTACAACGACAGAAAAAATGATCAAAGAATAATGCTTTGAATTTTGATCTGCTCTACATACAAACCTATTGGAATATAGTGCATATGGACTGCTTTCGTTTTTATGCCTTTTACAGTTTGACAGCCACTGTTACTTCAAACTATCATTGTATGAAAAAGACCTTCTTCGAAATTACTCTTAATGTTTCCAAGAAAAAATAACCGCATTCTGAGAAAATAATGACAGAATTGAAATTTTTGGGTGAACTATTCCTTTAAAGGTGGGGTAAGCGATTTTTCAAAAACGCTTTAGAAAACTGATTCGGGCCGAATAGCAAAACAAACATGTAGCCAATCAGCAGTAAGGGGCGTGTCTACTCATGATGTGGAGGAGAGAGCGTTCAGTGCACATGACGGACATTAGCCGAGCCGAGCCGAGCG